AGATATATTATGCTTTAGGCTTCCTTTTATCTTGGATTTCTTTAAATATTTATTTAGATTTAAAACAAAACAACAACAAAAAAAAACAACAACAAAAAAAAAAACAAAAAACAAAAAACACACAACCATGGACTTTTCCTAGTTTTTTCTTCCAGTCAATTGGAACATACTGCCTTTATATTTGCTTTTGTTTGCCGAACAGAAATTATCAAAGCTCTGCACATAGGTGGGGCTTGTAACTTGCAAAAATTATTATTGAATATTTACATAGTTTAATTTTTTGATTAACTTGAACTACTTGATTTACTTTAGACACTGCTCTTATTGTTACTCTGACCAAAGGGATCATACAGAGACAGGAGAGTAGCATGTAACGTTTGAAATCTTTTGATCCAGTATATAATGAGATGTCCAACAAATGGCAGTTCAAAATTTGAAAAACAAGCACATAAAACTGATTGCTTCAACTGCCAAAATTTCAGAAAGGGCTTTCAGGAGCTCATTAGCTGTTCCCAAGACAGATGTACAGATTTAAGAAGGGTGCAATTTGCTTTTTCATATTTCTTGTTTAAGTTTCCACAAAGTATAACATAGGCATTAGACAGCTATCAGGAAACCGGTCTCATTTCTACAGACATACTTGAGGCCACAGAAAGACGAACTAGATGGCTCATTCTCTGGAAATTAAAACTTCTTAACCTTTTCACTTTGCTGACAGCTGCACTGTGTCCAATTCTGCATTAAAAAACCCCCAAGGATTTCTTGGAAACTTTCAGTTATTCGAAGATTCAGTCAAGTCTCCAGTGGGGAAAACTAGCATCTGTGGCTCACTGCCTCAGCCAGAAATTCTACTAGGCTATTATTTTGGCTATCACCACACACAAAAATATATGCAGCTTTCAGCTGAAGGTTACTGAATCACTGTAAACAAATTAAAAGCTACTAAAAAAAAGAAAATCTAGCATCTTTGGAAGCAGTCTGAACATCCAAGAGATGGGCTTTTTCATAAAAAATTGACTACAGTGAGAGCCTTGTAAAATTCTATATATATAGATTTTTAAACCAACATAAAGATTTAGTTATTCTATATAATAAAACAATGATCTATTAGAAAATGAGAACCAGATTAACGTATGTAGTTCCTCCAGCAACACATGCACCATTATTTCACAAGAAACAATTCTTACACTTGGTAAATTTCTCCATATCTTTCTCAACTTCAGTCACAATTATTTCGACATCACATTAAACCTTCACTTAAGCATGGAAAAAAGGGTGCCACAGGAAGTGTGAGAGATAAGCAGATAAGGACAGGCTCAGGCTCCAGGTGTGAGGCAATAAGAAGATTACAGCAGGCTTAGGCTCAGGCTCTTTCTGCCTGATTCCTGTGCAAGGAGGTAACCACTGTAACAAATGAATTAGTTTTTGAAATGGTGTGCTGCTCAGTTCAGAAAAGCTGTGGATGGGTGTCTTGAGTCTAAAACATTGAGAACCACTGATCCACATAACAGCCAAGCTGCAATCCATGAACCACTGGAAATCTGTAGCACCTGCCAGTACACCATGAAGAGCCTTCTAGTGCCCTGACTTTGCCATTCTATATTTTCAATATCTTCTACAGATAACAGGCCCTTATTTACTAGCCTCCAGGCTGATCTTTAAGAAGCAGCCAAAAATAAAAAGAAACCAGCCTAGCTGCCTCTAACAGATCATGTAAGAGGCAATAAGAGCCACTGCTAGTACTAGAGCTACCAAAGGCAACAGGAATGAAATATCCAAAAGAAATATAAAAAAGTGACCACATTTCAAAACAGGCTAAAAAATAAGGTTATAGCTACCAACCTGTGAAGTTTCTATTTACAGGCACCAGTTATGTTACAAGGCTTGTTTTGCCAAGATCAGCAACTAATAAATCATAAGGAAAGCAATCACTTAAAAGGTTTCTGGAAAGGAAGAAATTATCAGCAAAATAGTCATGGAAGAATAGGCTGGCATGAAGAGATATAGGACACATGAAAGGGATCTGACCTAGCTGGGATGATGTCAAAGATACAACAGTTTTACAAAAAACAGATCTCTGTGTGTACACACACACTATTTATTAGATCAAAAAAATCAGTTTTAAATAGGGGTGCACTGACAGATTTTGGGGGCTGATAGTGATAATCAATTTTTAAAGAGTCATATCAGCCAATACCAATCCAATTTCTCATACAGCTGCAGCTACGTGCACCTGGTAAGCCTGCTGTGGTGGAAGAAGAGGGAGAAGAGAAGGTGTGGGGGGCATATCAAGGCCCCCCACAGTGAGGGACGGAATGGGGCTGGGACAGGGGCGGGACAGAGCTGCGGCTCGTCTGGGGGGCGGGAGCAGTTTGTGCCACTGCTCTGGCCACTCATCTGAGACGGCACAAGGGTAGGGACCTGTGCCCCTAGATCTGCGCTGGGTAGGGCAGGGCAGGCTGCAGTGCTGCACTTGGGGTGGGCAGCAGTGGCGCTAGGAGGGGGAAGTGGCAGTCATCCCAAGTTTCACTGTAGCCCTCCCTGTACCCCACTCCGAGTGCCGGCACCACCCATCTTGAGTGCAGTGCAGCATGGCCCTCATCCCAGCCCACAACTGCAGCCTGCCCTGCACAGATCTGGGTCACGCATTCCCCTGTGCCCTCCTGGATGAGCGGTGAAGTGGCAAGAGCCCACCCTGCTCCCACCTGGATGAGCTGCAGCTCCATCCCATGGTCACCTCACCCCAGCTGGGCAATGCCTGCCCCAGACCCTGCCCCACTCCCTCCCTCTATGTGGAGTGCACTGATCTGCCCCACCACGCCCCTTCCCCCCTTTCACCACAACAGACTTACCAGCTGCATGCAGCTTTTCATGCTGCCAGGTTATGCTCCTTGCTGCCTGTGTGCTGCACTGTGGCTGCACGCATGTATGGGCATTTACCAGCTAAATTATCAGCCACATCAGGCTGATTTCCGATATAGTCACTTTTCTTTATATCAGTGCCGATCCAATATCAGACTGAAGTATCAGTGCACCTCTAGTTTTAAATTATGCTTTACTGTGCTCCTACCCTGAAAACTGAATAATTTGGCTTCAAAGAAAGCTATCTAGCTATTTTATTAGCCACTGATTAGAGCTCCCAAGGGAAAGATGTCATAAATGCTAAGTCCAACTGAACCTCTTGAGAAGTTCGAACTACAGCTCCACATCTACTACGACCCAGTCAAAGAATGGGAAAAGCTACTAAATTCCATCCCAGGGCTGGTGAAACAACAGGCCTAACCACTCTGGGATGCACAAAGTCAGTGGTCCTAGCAACCACAACCGTTGTAGGCACTCTGATAGTGATGGAAGGTCTTAATATATGGATAAATATCAGGTACCAGTGTGCAGCAGAATGACTTAAAGCATCTATCATTTAAAATAATTTTAAGTTTTGTTTTGCTTTTGTATTTTTATGTTAAGAAAGATCCATTAATACCATGCTTATGCAGAACCCTCTTGTAAGATCAGGGCCACACTATGTGTGCTCATCCACACAAAGTAAAGGACTCAGCCTTCAGACATAAGAATACAACTTTGGATGGTTCACATGAAGGCTCACAGCAGGACCAGATGCTAAATTCCTATACCGGGGTAGAAATTTCATTTTATATATTGAACCAGGGATGTAAGTATCTCTTAAAAAAGTATTTGTTTAATGATATCGGTTAAATGATTAATCAATAACACAGTGGCTTTGGACACAGCTGCTGCTGGGAGCTGTTCCTGGAGCCCTTTGATTGCGGGAAGTGGGGGCAGAGGCAAGCCCAGCTGGACAACACTGCCTACATGAAGCCCTGAGCTGGGAGGAGGGAGCACCTGTGACCCAGCAGCTAATTGCTTAATTGATGAGTCATTAAGCTGTTGCTATTTTCTTTAGGCCAGTGGTCTCCAATCTTTTTATGGTGAAGATTACTTTTTTTGGCACTTCGGGATCTACCGGCCCCACACCTACCCCACTCCCCAGGAGCCCCCCCAACACCAACCCCAGACAAGCTGCCCGGGCTCTGATCCCACTCACCCAGCCAGCGCAGGGGGCACGGCTCAGTCCAGCCAGGTTCATCCTGCCGCTCCCAAACGTGGAGCCTCTGACAGAGGCTCCATGATTAACCGCTGTTTTGGGATATGGGTAGGGACCTACCAAATTCACAGCAGAAGTAAGGTGCACCACGGCTCCTTTAATCTTACACATTCCCCTGCACACCCTGCCGCCATTGACTGGTGAAGGGGCTGGGCTTGCAGCTCACTTCTCTATTGGTGGGGAGGCAAAAACCGTGTTCTCTGCTGATCAGGAGGGAGCATTGGGGCCCCTCTGGCAATCGAAGGCAGGGGGGAAGGGGAACACAGAGGAACATGAAAAATTAAAGGAACTGCCACACACCCCACTACCGCCATGAACTTGGTAGGTCCTCCTCTCACTCTTTCCTCCTTCCCAGCCACCCTGCTGTCTTCTGATTTCTGCTGGGGCAGCGTGCAGCTTCCCTTCCCCACTTCCCCGCCAGACTGCACCTGCCAGGAGCTAAAGGATAACTGGTATACTAACAGGTTACCACTGCACTTATCAGATAAACAATTAATTATTTGACCTTTCACATCCTTATGCTGAACAGGATGCATTTTTTTTTTTTTTTAAATGAGGTTTTGTTCTCAGATAATTTCCAGGTATCTGATCAGTAAACCAGATGCCTATCTTTTCTGTCCTGGATTTTGAACTTTTTTTTGACGTTACTGAAAACAGTTTTGGTATTCAACAATTTGTATGGATTCAAATTCGGTAGTATGGGACTACAATAATCCAAGTCACTCTAGCACTGTGATAATTCAACCCAACCACAACGATAAATTAACACTCAGTTTGGAGTTAATTTAACTCATATCAAAAGAACTTTATCAGAGTCAACTTAAATAGAACATACTAAAAAACCCTAAACTCATTACTATACTCATGTGTTTCTTACCCTGATAGCCTTTAATCCATTAGATATTTTATCCTCTTCAAAAATGGCAATGACTTTCTGTCCAACATTCAGTGGTATACTACTCATTACAGCATCATTTGTGAAGCAGATAAAGTCATCTATCATGCCATAATCATGACAAAACCTTGTCACTACTCCTTCTAAGGTTTTTAACTTTCTTTCATCTGAAGTGGAAGGAAGGAGAGATTTAAACATTAATAAGAAAACATCTGATCTTTCTTTAAATTGTGTAATAAAAAAGTAAGCATCTTAAATTGCAATTTAATTCTGTTCTCTGCTAGCCTGGCCTAAGACTGTTGTTGTTATAGAACCATGTCAGAGGGCATTGAGCCAATGTCAACAATGATTCTTATTAAGAAATGAGTTCAGATCAGCATTTAAGGATGATTTCACAGCCTTTTTATGGCTACCATACACAAACTAAAATAGCTATAAACAAAAATAATTTTTGTAACATTTTCATTCTGATCTATTACTAATACCATCTGGAATCATAAAAATCGATAATCGAGTAACATTTTTCATTGCATAATTCTTTTATAAAGTTTGTTTTTGGTTTCAGTAAACCAAAAAAGGATAGTTAAATCCACACAAATATTTTCCACAGTGTTTTTTTTAAGCATGCGAGTAGAAATTCACAACTGTCTAAACAAATTTGGCTAAACCTTCCAATTCCACAGAAGTTTTCTTTCCCAAACAGTACAGATAAATAGACCTATGTTCATGTTGCTGAGCATTTTTTTGGTTTCATTTCCAACCAAAAATATTTATGGCACCAGAGACCTGCATTTGCAATGCCTGCCTTGTCAAAAAAGAGAAACATAAGTGTGTAGCCCAAGACATGCACTGGATTCTTGAAAATATTTGAGAGAGCTAAGCTACTGTTGAAGATCAGTAGAGCTGTTTAAGACAGGTTAAATATTTGTGTTGCATCTCCAGAAGAAATAAAGATAGAAGTGTCTGTCTTAAGTTTTGTCATCTTAAAAAAAAGAAGTAGTGAAGTTTGCACTGCACCCTCCCTTCTTTATTGAAATGCTCATCCAACAGCAGGTAGGACAGAGAGCTGCCCTGCCTTACAACCCTGTGGAGCTTGCAGTATACACCTGCTCGTAGGTATCACAATATTTACTTTGCCTTCTGACTGGACTTCAAATAAGCCCAGCTAAGTGCCTCTCCCCATACTCCTAAATAGCCACAGCAATGCACACCACAAGCCCAGCACTCGGCCACGCACCCACAGGCTGTGCCACAGTACCTGCAAGTTGGAGCCTAGAGCAACAGAATCATAGAAAATTAGGGTTGGAAAGGACCGTAAATAGGTCGTCATCTAATCCAGGGGTGGGCAAAATGTGGCTCACTAGGCCATTCTATCCGGCCCACAGGGCCCCTAAACAACATACAAAATTAATATATATCTGTCCCTGGCTGCCTGTTATGCAGCCCTCGATGGCGTGCCAAAACTCAGTAAGCAGTCCTCCACCCGACATAACTGCCCGCCCCTGGTCTAATCCAACCCTCTGCTGAGACAGGACCAGCCCCAACTAGACCATCCCAGCCAAGGCTTTGTCTATCTAGGTGGATCTTAAAAACCTCTAAGGATGGAGAGTCCGCAACCTCCCTGGGTAACCTGTTTCAGTGTTTTACTACCCTCCTAGTGAGGAAGTTTTTCCCCAGTATCCAACCTAAACTTCCCTTGCTGCATCTTGAGACAGTTTCTCTTTGTTTTGTCATCTATCACCTCTGAGACCACTCTAGCTCAGGGGCAGGCAAAGTCTGGCTCCTGGGGCCGATTTAGCCTGCAGAGAAGACTCCATTTCCCAGCACTGTTGGCTCCTAGTCAGGTTGTAACCCGTCAGGTCCTTTTCTGCAGCAGCCCGGAGGCAGCGCAACTCCCCGCGGGAAAATCTCAGACGACGCTAGGCAGGAGCTGCAAAGAAGGGCTGGGGAAAGGGGCACGGCAAAGGCGGGGACTCTTAAACACTTCCCCCACCATGACAGAGGCGGGAACCGCGACCGTCCTGCGGGGAAGCGGCCCTGGGCTCTGGGGGGAGGGCGGACCGCGCCAGGACCGGGCACACCCCGGCGCTCCCATCCTCGCCTGGCTGGGGAGAGGTGCTCACACCACGCATGCCCACAAGGGTTAAAGGGCCTAGCCCTGGTCTCGGTCTAACGTCCCGCACGCAGCTCCGGGAGCCGCACGCATACGCGTCCGGGGCGGGGCCCAGATGAGCGGGGGTCACCTTCGTCTGCCCGCCCGCCGCCTCCGCTAGCCTCGTCCGCCCGTCTCCAGAAGTAGCCGACGACTTTAGCCAGGAGCCGCAGCATCACCTCGCACCTCTCGCGGCCTCGCCGCGCTTCCCGCCTTCAAGCCTCCAACTGCAGCCGCCAGCCAGTGACGCGGCGCTCCCGAGTCACGTGACAGCCACGTGCTGTTCCTGCGCGTGGCGCCGTTTTGCGCAGCCGTAGTAAGGGGGTGGAGTGGGGTGCAGTGATGGTTAAACGTCTGGTCTGCCTGAGACGCTGAACGAGGCATTTTGAGTGTGCATGCGCGGGGGCGACGCTGTGAGGAGGTGTCGTGAGCTGGAGCGACTGAGGCCGAGAGGCGGGGCAGGGCAGGGTGGACTTGAAGTCCCTCACCCCGCGGGGCGGGGCAAGGCAAGGCGTGTGGGTGCTGTTTTGCGTGTGCTTGCTTGTCCTGCACTGGGGAGGCCGCGCTGTGCTACAGCCGGGCCAGCCCAGTCTGGCCATTCTGGCGCAGGGCTGGTCCGGAGCAGTAGCGGGTTTAGGGGAGGGCAAACCGGGCCTCCTGGTGCCCCGCACTTTAGGGGACCACAAAACATTGCAACAATTTTTTTGGGAGGTGAAGTTATTAAAAACTTTGTCCTTTCTTCAACTTATTCATAAATTCCATGGATAGGGCAAAGTGATATTGAAATGGCAAATGTCTGACTTGTGTATAGGTCATCAAAATTTAGTCTTTAAGGGGCTTTAATGACTGTCTTGCCGAGGGCCACAAATGATCCTAAGGCCACCACTGCCCATCCTGCCACAGGTCTCGGGAAGAGGCTGATGGTGTTTTGTTCTCTTGTCACCTAAGCCTTAGATTGTATCAGTCTGGTCACTTATGAAGCTGGTTGGCATGAAACTTTTGAGGTGCCTTGTCCACCTGGTCCTTCCTCCACACCTGCCTGCCCTGCAGGGCAAGGGACTTTAGGGCAGGAGCAGACTGCAGGACAAAGCCCAGAGCTTTCCCTTGGTTGGCTTTTTTTTTTCTTTCAGTCTGGACACCACCATCAGCTTGGGTTTGGTTGGTCTTGAGAGAGAGGCACTAGAGCAGGGGCAGGCAAAATGCAGCCTGCAGGCCACATTAAGCCTGCCAAGGGATTTTATGGGGCCTGCAGCCAGTTGGCCTTGCTTGGCTCAGGTGTAGGGGGAGTCTGGGCCATGGTGCGTGGGCCATTCCCACTGCACCCAGGCATGTAGTGGGACAGGGGTGGCACAGTGGCTGGACTCTGCCTGGCTGCCACTGCCAGTCTGCCCTGTACCTAGTGCTGGAGGCACTGGATGGGGAGGGGGGGCAGGTACTTTAAAGAGACAGGCCCAGGGGGCAGGGTGTGCTTGGGTGGCTTGATGGGATGGGATCCAGGGTGACAGGAAGTGGTGTCCAGGAGTGAGATAGGGAGGCAGGACTAGGGCCAGGTGGGGTCTGTTCCCCTGTGTGTCCCTGCAGCAGGCACTGATTTCACGGGCAGCAGCTGGGCCTTTCTTACAGGGCTGGTGCTCATTGCTGGAACGTGCAGGGAGCAGGTTGCAGCTCTGTGTTGGCCTTGGTCCCACGCTGTCGCTGCCTTATGATCCTGGCCCCCACATGACTCCTGGATGCCACTCCACCACCCATGGCCCGATCCCATCTGCCTGGCTGAGCATGCCCTGTTCACAGGGGTCTCAGGCCAGTTGCCATAGGGACCCTGCCCACCCACTTTGACCAGCCGTTTGACTTGCTGTTGCTGGTTATGGGTGTGGGTCAGACAGCCTGTGGCCAGATAACACCAATTGCCACCTCTTGCCACCACACCAGGTCAGCTCAGCACCCTCTCCCACTGTCTCAGACCAGGTCAGCACCTTGCCTGTGTGTCTGTCTGTCAA